CGCTGAACGCAAGTAGACTTGCGCGATTTCAAAAAAAACATAAAAAACGCGAATCAGCCTAACAGTTTTCAAAGTTCATATTTGTTGTTTGTAACGTTCGATACAATGCTTGGGAAGAATATTTGTGGGACAACAAGCTGCGATTTCGTCGTTTACAAGTTATTTCTTCGCTAACGTTAAGTTTGATACCGCATAGGGAAACGTAAGGAACGTTTTACAGTCATGAGCTCAGTACCCAAGCCTCTGAGTGAACGCGAGACTGAGGTTGACTTGTTTTTATAAAAGCCTCTTTCCTTGTCTAACGAAAATCATGCTAAAAAAAACTAGTTAGCATAAGAATAACATAAATTAATAAAATAAAGCAGGAAGGGTTGTATCAAAACAATGTCAACTCCAGCCTCGTTTGCACCCGTAACTGTAAAATGTACCACAGTCGAATCTCCCGTAAGCGACCACCCAAAATGTAAAGACAGAGTGGTCGCTCACGGGAGGTGGTCGTTTACAAGAATTGAACCCACAGAGGCCTCTTCCGAGAAGAGGTCCAGACACATCTACTTTATAGAAGATAATTTATTGCATGCAATGTCCAAGTTAGGATATGTGTAGTTCCACGTTGTCACTAAAGTTCTTCGGCATCTTTAAACAATAGCCACAGAAATCACCCGAACAGGAAATTCTACCTAAAAATTTTCAATTCGATCGATCGTTCTCTGCGTCCTACGGGACGCATTTCACGAATTATTTTGCGTCTTTGGGGATCTTTATGTGTCTGGGACGCAGGACGCAGAGGTAACAAAATCACTGGGGAAAATTTTACTGTTTTGGACTGGCGGTGGATTATGGGAGGTGGTCGCTTACGAGATGTGGTCGCTTATAGAGGTTCAACTGTATTGGCAATCTTAACAAAATGAACCAGACAGATGTGACACAGCCCCTTTAAGGCAACAGTCCAGAGTTTTTGGAAACTGAAAAGTTTGAATACTCATCATTAGTATGTTTCTAAAAGCGGCGCTTAAACCGAGATGGCACTAAAATAACGGGAAAGTTGATAAGGGGACAACAAAAACAATAGGCGGCATCATCGAAGCTGTCTGCCCCCTTCCCGATCCGAATAAATAACAATAACAGCAATAATAATCAGCACTAGCGGTGTTAAAAACGGTGAAATTAATAAGCACTCCCGGAGGGTACTCCTGAGATTTCTTGGTGGGGGTGTGCCCCCCGGTTCTCCGACCCTATTTCGGGCAAAAAAAAGTCATTTTCCACATACGTTCTCAAACCTAGCCTCTAATTCAGACCTGACATAATTACTTAGATTAGAACGCCAAGAAAATATTTCTAAAACATAACCTTTGGGGCGAAACATACGTACATGGCTTACATGAAGGGCTTCCCTCCAGGGGTAAGCACTACCGTTTTGCTAGTGGGTGCGGCCCAATTCTGTAATTTTAGGGGGCCCTTTTACAAAAAAGGGAGTCCAAGAAAGGGGGCACCAAATCCAAAAAAATCTGAGTGCTTTTTGAGACTTTTGACACTCTACATGGCTCGCTGGAGGCTTTGCCGCCACTTTGGAACATTCTGGGCAACTGAAAAAGACTGGGCTCGAATTACTGCAAAATCCAGGAAGTTTGTCTGGTGAAATAATGACTCAAACGAAGGAGAAAAAGGCAATTGAGACATTAAAATGCTATAAACGTTCAAAGTGAGTTATAGACCGGCCGTCAAATCAGTGTTGTTGTCGGTGTTGTTTTCGAATACTTTATTTCCAAAAAAAAAAATAGTACTTATCCTTTTGTTTGCGCCCCATTTGACGCGGCAACGTAAATTTTATGCGGCATTTTTTTTCCAAATTGCGGGAATCCCGCAAGGTCGCGATCTAGAATTAACCCTGGCCAGCTCCTACATATATGTAGCTCATACACAAGCCCGCATTGTCTCGTTAGCTACTTTCAAGGCAACTGATACAGAAAACAAAAAAAAGCCTGCATCTTGAATGTAAACCCTGCCTCGTGGACTGGTACATATCTGGCTGGCATTTACAGCATGTCCCTCAAAAAACTCTCACGTCGCTATAGTGCTCAGCAAAATGTACAGCTGCAGATCATTTTGCGGTTATCACAAACGTCGACCAATCCCCACAACACAGCGTCTTTGCTTTGTGTTTTAATGAGGAAAAGAACTGGACTTGAGATGGCGTATATTTGCTCACAGTATCTCCGTGTCCAAGTTGGCCATAATGCCCTGGAACATAAATGTACCATTCATGTACTCTTTTTTTTAATTATCTGGCAACAGCAGAAGCAGTAAGGGGGCGCGATGGGGGCGTGGTTTGGAGGAGCATTCTCCGTCTAAGGAAGGTATAACCAGAAGAAAGTTTAAAAAAGAGCCCGACAAGTCGCGCAGGCCTACCGAACCCCCTTCCCACTAACATTTACGTTATCTTCTCGATGACCGTCAGTTAACTCGTAATTAAAACATGCTGGGCTGGCAAGTCGCTACAAAAGCCCCCAGCTGTTGTACAGCACTTTTGTCGTACCCTGGAATACGGCAACCCATCGCTTATCTAACGAGTCGTTTCGCTAATGTTCAGTTCGCTTTCCCGCTAGGTCGTTTATCACCAAAGTGTTATGGCGTGACTTCATGCATGACACGCTTAGTGGCGGGAATAGTATGCATATTAGGTATTGTTATGTAACGTGTGAGTTTACGCTAGAACTGACGCAGTAACAAACGGACGATAGTGGTAGCTTTAGGAATTGTAAAGCATATAAGATGCAAACCCGACATTAAACAAAGGACAGTTGACCTTTTGCCAGCGGAATCTCAATCAGCGGACTGGGGCCCTCTTTTTAATGTCTGTAAAAGCTACTTAAGGGAGAATTTAAAAACAAATCAAGACTAAATTTCACTTCAAATATATCCTTATCATAGGAGATTAACATCGCATCCCTTTTATCTGGGAGCGGAAGGGAAGTAAAAAATAAAACTGATGAAATCTTACCCCATCCCCAGGTCCATACACTTCCATCACCTGAAAAAGAAAAAGGAAGTGGGTAAAAACGTTGTAGCATCATACTGTACGGTACATACAGTCGACTCCCGATAACTCGAACCCTCGCTAACTCGAACCAAAATCGATTTCCCCTGGATTTCCGTCATACATTCACTGTAATTTTACCCTCGGTAACTCGAACCCTCGATAACTCGAACTCTCGCTAACTCGAACCAATCTTCGTTTCCCGTCAGGTCATTTTCTATATAATTTTACCCTGGATAACTCGAACCATGCTTTGAGCCCTTAAAAACTCGGGAAAAAGCCGTCTTCTAACGTCCGAAACACTGAATTTTGGATTTCCCATTGACGTGTTGTAGGAGTATAGTTTACTAGTGGAGGCTGACGTTGATTGTCACAGGCTACGGTGAAGCAGCTTAATTTTCTTCTCAAAACAGTAAAACGCATGCTCTATTTAGGTTATGTTTTGTTACGTTACGTTCTGATTTATAATCTAGAAGTATCCTTTAATTTTCACTTGACATTTCTACAATTAAATGTGATAAAAATGTTCACTGTGCAGTAAAAACTGTTTTTTACCTTACTCTCGACTATTTTCTTCGAACTCCCGATAACTCGAACCTTTTTTCGATTTCCCTTGAAGGTTCGAGTTATCGGGAGTCGACTGTACCTTCTACTCGAATTAGCCTACTGCCGGTACAGCTGTATGTAGCAGGTGCTTAACAGGGATATGGGCTCAAGAAAAAATGGACGTGCAAGGTAAACGTCCCCTCGCAGGTCCCCCTTTTTTTAGCCCATAATTATTCCTTTCAAACACACGCACACACACAAAAAAACTAAGAAATGGAAATGATATTTGCTTGATGTACCAGCTATTGCACCAGTGTGTCTTGATCCACAGCTAACTGTCATAACATCTAAATCACCAGGAAAGTCCACAGGGACAGGGAAGGTCTGACATGGAACTTTTCCACTAGTTGCTGTCTGCCTGTCATCATCAGTGTCATCATGATTGACAGACAAACCCAGCTGTCCTGTCTCGTTCCATCCCCACATGTAAAGATCACCACTTTCTATTAAACAGTAGATCAATAAACAAAACACAATGTGAATGAAACATGTGTTGGGCCTTTACTGCGCTCTTCACAAACATGCGAACTCTAAAGTTCAAAAGCCGCCTTCACAATTGCGTTTTTCGCTGCCGTCAATCATAATTACGATCACAAGCAACGAACCTGGAAACACAGAAACACACAAAAAGGATCGAAATACACCAATCACAAATCACAAACCTTGACCTTTTGAACCCGTTAAAGTAAAGTTTTGTTTCCTAAGAGGTTCGTTAAGATGATTGACGGCAGCGAAAAAAGCAATCGTCAGTTGGCTTTTGAACTTCAGAATTCGCATGTTTGTGAAAAGCGCAGTAAAGACAAGTGTATGTGACAATTTTTTTATTTGCTTGATAGAATCTGAACACGGTGTACTGATAAGGAAATATTTTCTGACCAACCAAAAACGCGAAATTTCACTTCCAGTGGGGTACAAACGATGCAATCTCTCTCCATATCACATTTTGGGAATGATTGGGACGTCATTTCAGGACATTCTGTTTCACGGCAAGCACATTTCCCAAGCAGTGTGTGCAGACTTTTTTGAGTTTTCCCTGACCTCTTTTAGTTAAAAACAGTACAAATCAAAGGAAAGTAGCTAAAGCTTGAATGTAAACATCTGTAGATAAAAGTTCTGAACGTGATACGAGACATTCAGACATGGAATCGATCCGATCTCACATACACAGTCATTACTGTATTTTGCCAGACAGATCTGGATGAAGATGAAGATCAAATTTACTATTCAGATATTTATTTTTTATGTCTTTGATTTGTCTTATTTTATTATTTCTTAGTACCTTTAATAGTAAGGGGTAACAGTAAGGGTCCGACCATAAAAAACTTTGAGGGTGGGGTGGGAAAGGAGGAAAGACTGGGTGATTTAGCTTAACAGACTTTAAAGTGAACATTTTGACTTGTAAACAGTTTAAGTTTTCTCAGAAGCTAAAAAGCTGCATTTGAACAGCTGCTTTGATACCATTGCTCTAGTCATAAACAAGTCATCCTCATAGAAATAGATGTTTAAGGAAACTAAAAAAAAAAACACAGAGAGATAGGAAATGTTTCAATGTATGTAGAATACAAATTACAATAATGGGAATTGGGAGCCTAACAATAAGAATTTGTTACTCCATTCAAAATAATGTTCTCTGATGGTCGAAACCCAGTCTAAAATAATCCAAACCATGAGTGTGGGACTTCTGTACATGTACAACCATGTAAATACTGTAGAGTGGAATGGCTATGAAGTCTGTCGGACCTCTTTGTTATTGCATTTGTGGACCTGATGATGCGCAACGTTCAATAGCATCCCTATCATTTTGATATTATTGTAGCCTGTGAGCAAGCTCTCCAGGGCACTCTGGCAGCGGAGCGGGAAAAGGAAGAAGAGCTTCCAACTACGTACATGTACTGGTCTCTGGAATTTGCACCCCATCTGCATTGAAATAGTTGATGCAAAATGCTGATTGGCAGAGATGACATTGGTAATGATGTCATTACCCTTGGCAAGTGTTTTTCAATGTTTGCTTACATATACATTCACGCTCATTTTCGTTTCGCTCTGATTGGCAGAAATCTGACAGCTCAGTTGATGGGGAGCCACAGGGGAATTGGAGGTGGAATTCAAATTCCAGAGATGTAGTTGCAAGCTCTCCTTCCTTATCCCACCCCGGAGAGCTTGCTCAAAGGCTAATCCTATTGACCAATTAAAATGTTGCATTAATTCATTCAGTCACAATTTGTGAACAGAAAACAAAAGATCAAGGGAGCTTCCAACATAAACTGCAGCATTTCTATCTTTGATGTTTGCCACCTTTCATAACCATTCTCCTCTACTAAGGTACAACCAGTAATCCCTGACTGAGATAATAGATATCATAAATAACTCCTGCAATAAAGAACAGAAAATATTTGAAAATGAATTCAAATCCACTCTTACCACTTATTGCTGCAGAATGCCAACCACCTACAGCTATAAACTGAATCTTGATTCCCTCCAGGGCTGGAATAACTGCAGCACTTTGCTCTTCAACGATTAAACCACGTCCAAGTTGTCCTCTACTGTGTGTAAATATATTAAGTACAGTGAACACCGCCATATAAGTGCAAGTGGATTAAGAACATCAGGCTGAAAATTGGCCAATAAATAAAAGCTGACCATAATAATTTATTATATAAATGTATAATTATACATGTATATTAAATAACAAAGAATTCAGCCTGATAAAATAAAACTTGTTGAGTTACAAAATAAGAAAGAAGATGCCAGAACTTAATCAGCCTGATGCCCAAAACCATGGTTGTGATATGCGGGTGTTTACTGTAGTCGTTTGTAACAAAGTATGTAAAAGATATCTAAAAACAAAACCAAATAATTAATTTATTACACCAGTGATAATTTGCAGTAGCTTAACTTGGATAAAAATTAAAAAAACAAAACAAAACAAAAAAGAGACGCACTGAATCTCCACAATCTCAAGTGACTGCAAATACAACTGCAAAGAGTTTATACCCACACACAAAATTATGCCATCACCAGAGTACAGTAGGCCTGTTTTAACAAGAGCATTTAAAATGTACGAAGCATTCTTTTCTTTCCTATGGTATTAAAGAAAGGGGAAATTTTCTGGCAACCACTTTATGCCAACTGGCGACCAAAAAATTTTATTACACAGTACATTGTCAGATGGCCCCTGTATTGAAAAGACAATTTCAGACCCTAGCTGTCATACCTTCCATTGCCAAGACTGTAAACTTCCCCTGATGAAGACAAAAGCAGTGCATGTTCCTTCCCACAAGCAATTGATGTCATCTGTTTCAACAGGTCCATTGGTTTAAAGATCATTGAAGCTGGTTTGTTTAAATCTTTGGTGGCATTCTGGTCTTGTTCATGTAATACAAAACCAGCTTGGCCATCATCTGTACAACAGATATGTCTAATTTGAGACGGGAATAACTTTGCAGATGGAAGAAGTACAATGTACAATACATGTACAATCAAAAGGACACACCTACCGCAACAATAATATTGCCATTCAGGGTTGAACTGATTAAAAAAAGGTGAGTTGTGCAAAGGAGTTCCTTCAGGTGCTACAAGATGTTAGTTAACTGATAAAAGCATATGCAATTATTCTGTAATAAGGGATTAAAATCAAGCATGGCAAAATCTACAGTAATATATACTGGTAGACACTTGACCAGGTAACTTAAAATGAGCAAAAAACATTGTATTGATGGCAGTCTGATTTCTGTACAATATGTATGTTTCCATGTATTTCAGAGAATGATCCTTATCCTTGATATTCTAAGTGTGAAGTAAAACTTGCCTGATAGAAGTATGCAGCTCGATTCTAAGCATCCTGCAGCCATAAATTTTCTGTTACCGGCCTCAAATGTTCTTGGATGTGACTGTTCATTGGTGTAGTCACTCCAAAGAACACAATTGCCATCACTCGTCAGAAATGCAAGTTGTCTCCAACTACAGCATGCATCTGTGACAAAATAATCTGGGAGGAGATTCCCTACTTCACCTCCTTCTTTTGTTCCAGGAATCCACCCCATGGTTTGGACTGTTCCATTTTCTTATAGATGATAGATTATAGTTTTTGAAATTAGATGGTATTCTGGCAACCATGTAGAACTAAAGATAATTATTTTGACACATCTTGTAGTATACATTGAGATTAATTCTGTTGAGTCCAGACAAGTCACAGAGTTATAGATCTCACTTAGATGCAAGCTCTGTCACTTTGAGTTAAAGAGCTTTTAATATGTATATTTGCCGCACTTAATGTATGAGAAAGTGAGGAAAGGTCTCAATCAGTTTGTGCCGTTTTGAGCGTGTAAGATCATTTTCTGGTGACATGATTATAAACCTGTTAGTTCTATGCTGCCAAACAGCTAAACCGGCCACGTTACAAGTCAAAATTATAATCAGGTTTAAATGTTTTAACCTAGGTTGATTCTTAATTTCCTTTGTCTCCTAGCCCTAACTGTTCATGAAACAGGGATAGGTGACAAAGGAAACTAAGAATCAACCTAGGTCAAAAAATTTTAACCTGTATTTAATTTTGACCTGTAACAGCTATAATCAGCTAACATTATCAATGTTATCAAAAGGACTTTGAACTTGACACTGCCACAGACAGGGTACATAAGAGGCAAACAATTTCCAAGAACAGTCTATTTTCCTAACATTTTTTATACTTCAACCTTGTGATTGTCATAAATGATGTGTACAGTATGATAATTGACGTTTAACTAGTTTTAGGGAAGACAAATGCTCATCCCACTTAAACTCATACACAGCAACCGTAATGCAGTGACAAAGGTTAGAGAAGCTCATTTAAAACACCTTATTTCCTCTATGAATAAATAGACGTGACGAGGCTCACTGATATATGATACCACCTAGTCTCCTAGACCAATAACAGTCCATTGTTTTTATTGTCACTTTTTCAAATTCTTATTTGTAACGAACTTTTAGTTTTATTTCCATTTTTCTTTTAGCGCCTGAAGAAAGTTTGTTTTCAAACCGAAATAAAATTATTAGGCAATTTGTTTAAATATATATTTTTGTTTTATTCTTTTGTTCACTTCTTCATTGCCTTGCTGTAAGGATCAGTTTGCCGTTTCATATTTTTCACCGCAGTTACCCCAGGCTCACTGTTTGTGTCACGTATGGGTTTCATAACATGAGTAAATACAGAGGACATATATGGGGCGAAGTTTAAACTTCGCCCCTATATGTTCTCCATATTTTCTCATGTTATGAAACCTGTACGTGAAACAAACAGTGAACCTGGGTTACCTGTGGTCTGACATCTTGAATTTGCATTTTATAGGACAAAACCAGGGCCCAGTTGTTCGAAGGCTGATTAGTGCTTAAGCTAGGGTTAAATTTAATCCAGGTTTCTCTTTCTTGTGTTCAAAAACATTTTCTCGCATAATTTTCTCTGTTATATTTAGAGCTTTCAATCATCAACTTGCAGATGAAAAAAATTAAAACTGAAATTCTTTTTAAGCTTTCAAATCTGAATTCAAATCTCGCACTAACCCTGGGTTTTCTTAACCTGGCTTTGAACAACTCGGCCAAGAAAGGAAAAAAAAAACCTACTGCAACTTCTCTATTCAACCCCTGGGAGTCTAATATTTTTAGTGCCGCTGAACTATAGTAGCCCGTGAAGCACAGATGTATTCCCGGTCCTCCCCTCTCTCCCTCCATGCGAGAGAAGTGATGACCGGAAATAGGTCTGCGCTTTGCAGGCTAGGACTATAGCAGCTTATTGAAATGAAAGAAAGATGACTGAACTATTATTTTAAAGGGGGTTGTGTTAAACTTGCGGCCCAGTAAGAAATCTGTTGGCTATAAATAAAGAAACTACAGTGCCCTGTGTATATAGGTCACTGCTGTTTCTTGGGTACTAAAATAACACGCATGTGACTTATTATCAAAACTTGAGTGGTATATTATAAATAGTGGAACACACTTTCCAGACAAACGACCAAATAAAACTGCGTACCTACCTTTTACAAAAACGGTGCTAGACCAGGATGCCACTATACTACTAACACGGGGGACATTCAAAGCCAAGGGATATAATAATGACGACTTGGAAATACAATAAGAAGAGTTCTGTGGAGGCTCTTGGTCACCTTCAAAAATATGCCCACCTAGTTGCTTAAAACCATTGTATCCAAATCCATATACTTCGAAGTTCCCCTCGGAGTTTATTTTGCGCTTTAATGAAGCGTTTCCTTCTGTTTCAGCCATGAAAATGTTTGACAATTCCCTCCCTGTTTTCTTTCCCGCTTTCCGCCATTTTGTTTGCGAAGCGCCCTCGCCTCATTTATGCAGGCCTGGATACAAAGCATA